CGCTCGGCCCAAAGTTTGCCCTGCCAACCAACACTGCGGAAAACTTCGCTTTACCGTACGGGAGACTAGATTCTTCTTGTCGGTTCGGTCGGTTGTCGGTTGGCGGTGTATGTTTGTGTCTGTACAAAACAAAGAATCTTTCAACAGTACACCAACTCTGATACACTTGTGCGCGCCTTTGCTACCACAACGCAAATTCTTTGGAAGCCTTGTGCTGGGCCCCAAACTTGAATGGCAATTTATGTGTCCGCCTGCCTTTTTGCAGTCAGCCTCTGGGGCAGCAAGCCATAGCTGTTGTTGCCGGAACAAGCGGGGCATTCCAGAGTTGGAGGGCTTGACCTGCGCTCGACTTGTTGCTTGTCAGCGTTGTAGTGTTTGTCCAGAGCAACCAGTCATGTTCTTAATGTCAATGGCCGGGGCGCATTCCATGGACGCTGAAAATGGTTGAGCCCTGGCGCAAGTCCGCTCCTTTGAAACGTGCTGCGCAGGTTTCTAACGCGTGAGTCGAACTCGCATGTTGGCTTATCTGCATCCCAAAGTCTGCGCCTCTGAGCAGCACCTTGAGAGAGAAACGGGGAAGAACTTGTTGTGCACGGGTCTCCGTTTTTCGGCATACAGGTTGGTTTTAGTTTGAAGCCGGGAAGGTTTATCAGTGTGGCGGCTCAAAAAATAGCATGCCGTGCGCCTGTTTAAACAGGTCTATGCTTCGTTTACCAAGCCCCAAGGTAACACTTTTGTGTTGGCCCCCTGAAGCTCGCGGACCCCCTGATGAGAACGGCCACAGGTTGCTTGTGGTTTCCTTGGTTTTCCCGGTAGGGACCCCATGGGCTCGGCGAGAGAATTCGCTGCAATCTTTGGCTTAAGTATTGGCAATGGATTCACGAGCGTGTTAGACATAATGACAGCGAGCCACTTTCAATCAACCAACACAGCATGTGGGGAGTGGTATTGCCCAGAGCACTGCTTTAAAGATGAATCGCAGAGACTTTGCCGCATTCAGGTGCCGCAAGTTTCCTTGGTCCACATATTTTGTGCACGAGCATTTGATCACGCTTTGAAACCGTACCAAAGTTAAGCTTCTTCAGGAAGGCCATGGGAGCCCCCCAAAATTCTCTTCAGCGCCAGATTCGGGATTCAAGATCCCCGGTTTCAATTTTCCTGCTTTAGCTTGAGATGCCCGTCGATATCCAAACATTTTCTTTGCAGGGCTCTTGATGAATCACTCTGAATTTGCCCTTTGGGTCGGGGGGAACTAAAAGCAGAGGCCGGCAACCATAACCTTTCCATGAGCCGCTGAGGGCAAGCGTTTCCAGCTGGTTTGTGTTTTGTTTTGTCCGCATCCAGGATCTGCGAGATGCGAGGCCTGGACGATGTGTTGGGATGCAGCCACTTCAAGTCGATTTCTGGCATTGTCAGTTTTTTCTCAAAGCCAAAGCTCGACAATGATTCAAGTGCAACCGAAGAATGAATTGAGGGCTGGTTGGCCCACAGGCGGGGTGGATAAAACAAAGATACATACCATCCATGGTGTTTCTTTACACTTTGCCCCCCCCCCCCCCCACACACGCGTTTTTCGTTACGTGGTGTTTGTGCCTTGCTCGGATCCGATTTGAGACGCTAGTGATGCTTATGCTATTGCAAGGGCGCCAGCAGGCAGGGCAGGGGGTATTGAGACAGCGTGATTGTTTTGTACCTGTTCCTTGGCGTTTTAGGTCCAACAAATATTTACCAGGATTCCGAAAAGCAGAACCTCAAAAAGGATGTTTGCCATGACGCTCCACTCTGCTCGGGTTTCATGCTTGGCTCTGTTTGCCCCCTTCGTCTTTGGGAGGAAAAACGGGCTGCCAAGTTTCAACTCGAGTGTGAAACCTGGTGCCCCTCAAGCGCTTTTCTGAAACCTCAAGGACATTTTCATAGTATGTGCCAAACATAAACCAGGGGGCCGCAGGTTTTAGTCCTTGGTTCCATGTACCAGGGTTCCATTTTGGGCACCTTATGTTTGACCCACAGCTGTATGGGTTTCTGGCCTGCCCATCGCAATGCCTGCCCATCGCGAGAACTCGCAGGTGCGTCCTGAGAATCTCCTCGCCCCGAGCTCAGCGTTTGTAGTCGGAGAAGTGATTTGGCATCGGTGGAGAAGAACAAGGGAGCCTTCCTTTTGCTGAGCTGAGGCCCCATTTAAGCGCACATTGGAGGACCCTCCAGTTTGAAGGCTTATGAAGTTGTGCAACTTCAAGTTGAACTGGTGGTCTTGTTGCTTATGCCTCAGGCGTGACCCCTTAGATGGGATGTCGCAGAGCGGCATTTAGTCTTCTCTTTTTGAGGGAAACCGCGACAGATGGTTCATGAAAGTCAGGATGAGTTGCTGTCGGAATCGACCGAACGCTGAGGCCTGTTTTGATGTGGGCCTAGTGGCTGAGATCCTGAGACAGAAATTGCCGCCCGACCTTTGAGCTGCACGGCGGCAACGCCAAGTCATTCGCAGAGCCAAGCAAGTCACCTGTACATGCTGGAAGGCGAAGCGGTTGCAGAGCTGTGTGCGCAGCACAGCGCAGCCCATTGTGAGTTGAGGTGCGTGGCATCCAGCCGCGTGTGGCCCAAAGGTCAGGGCCAAGACCTCTCAAGAAGACCACCAATCAAATGGGCTGTGCGCAGGAAATCAATCTACCCTTCCACCGACTACCATGGAAGTGCACAGACCCCTGTAGCGAGATTCCTTTCCTCTTGGAAAGGGGGTTTGTGGACTTCCATGTTAGTTAGGGGGAGGGTAAGCCTCGTAACCGCCTTGCAGACTCACACGGAAGGCATTGCTGAGTCGCAGCAGAATGCCAGTGTGGCTCTTTCTGGACATTTAAGAAGCAATAAACCACGAATTTATCCCTTGAGAAAACATCTTGACCAATCGCTTGACAAGCTTGCTGTACTTTTATGTACTTCTCCGCGCGAAGCATACCAATCCAGGCTCTGGGGGAATGCTGACAGTGCCAAATCGGATAATTTGATTGGACAGAAGCCTGAAGTGTGGCAAAGCGATATCCAGCCTTTCGAGAGTGTGTGCCTTCGGTTTGCCACTTCTTGCGGGAGAGCATCATAGCTCCGCTAGAAGGCGGTGTGTTGAAGCTGGCCGAGCATCGCAAGCGGCTGCTTGCTCATGAAGTCGTTGCGCCTGATTCAATCGCCTCTTGGGAAGCCGATACCGAACTGCGCCATCTTCAAGGTGAATGAAGTGTCGCGATTCTGGAGCCTATAGCGCTCTGCAGACTCACATAAGCTGCGCCTAATGGCCAGTCAGGCACTTGGCAAGCAGCGGACAGACCGACAGATCATTGAATCACAGCTTTGCTGCCTTTGCATGCCTGTCAAATCCTCCCTGAAAGGCTGCAGACCAGCTCAAGACACTCGACCAGATGAGCGCAAGACACAGTGCTGAAGCGTCAAGCAGACCCCAAGTCCCCTGACTCACCGTTGAATCATTTGAGAGCAGTTGCCGTGATGACAGTTCTGGTGAATCAGTGAACTTTGCAGCCAGAATCCGCCCTCGTCTTGCGTGACAATCTTGCGTGCAAGGTGTGTAGTTGCCACATTGACGCTTTGCGCAACGGACTCTTCGCCAGGAACAGGCGTGACATCCTCAGTTGTGCCACTGTCATCGGACGTGCAGTAACTCGTAGCCTTTCAAAAAGGAGTTGCTTTACCATCAATCGGGTCTGCGCAAGCGTCGCCTGGGGGGCAACGCCGGGCACGAATCCCTCGCTTGATATCGGGCTGGGATGTGACGTGTGGCATGGGCTGCACGCCGTGCGATGCACACGGGACCTGGTAGGACTGCGATGCCGAGCCAACGGCGCAAAATTCCCGAGACGTGCCATTGCCCGTCGTGGAGCCCATGGCGCCGACAGCGCAACTTGGTGCGCATGTGTGTGAGCCTTGCCATCTCCAAACATTCTGAAGTATTCTGAATGATGTTCCTGCCTACGCCCCATGTAACGTCCCTAATAAGAGCCAACTTTGGTGCAAGGTGTTGATTACGAGTCATTTGGTCCAAATACCGCATAGCATCTTTTCAATGGCAAGATCTATCCATTAGGCATCCACAGATAGCCGGCATGTGCGCATTCCTGTCCCCTGCATGAAGAGCCGGGTTGGCATTTTGTCGCCCAGCCCGCGCTGTACATGACTCAGGGCTCAGGTGTGCGCATGCGGCCCCGAAGCAGAGACGCAGAACCTTGCAACGGATGTTGCAACCATTTGGACACGACTTGAGCACATGCAACTTGAACTCCATGCAACATTTTCCGAAGCGGACTGGACGCGTGAGTTAGTGACAGGCCCAAAAAGCCCTGCAAGCGCGTGACCTGTGTTGCCTCCCGGTTTTCGCCGGTTCGCCCCATCGATTTGGCCCACCCAAGGCGCATTGGGTTCTGGCGGAAGGCTCAGTGGCAAAGAAGACTTTTCTGGATGTCTTGACTCGCGCCTTTGGCGAGTAGACCAGTGCACATTGCTGGTTTTGGAGGCTGTGCCTTGTAGCGTTCAAGCAGCAAGCAGCAAGGGTTCGAGGGGATGCATTGCATGGTTCGGCTGGTGTCCGACCCGATACCGTGGGCCAGCGGCCATTGCCTGATGCTCGGCTTTGGCGAACTCAGCGACCTTTTGAGCTGTAGATCGGCACCGGGACTTTTGGCCGTGCATGGCTGGCAGTCGCCTGGCGGTTTGCTGGGCTACTTGGGCTAGGGTGGGGGTGTAACCAAATAGGGGTTTGCGAATCCCGGGCTCCAAGAAACCCATGAAGCCCAAATTCAGCGCCCTTTGGAGCTTCCAGTGGAAAGCGGCTGCTCGCGCTGAATTGCGCTGCCAGGATTGTCAGCTCTTCAGTTTCCAGTTGACTTGGCCCATAGCGCGGACGCGGCAGGCAGAATCGCTTTGCACGAGTGAATGAGGGCGAGCCCGTCCCGTCAAGCATTCATTTGATCAACCAGTCTTGCGTCGGAAACCGCAGTCTTATGATTCTTCCTTCCAGCTTCAAGTCACTCGCGCGACAGCTGCTGGCTGGGCTTTTTGCATTGGAGCGGCGAAATCGCCTCGTGCGACTTCTGCCCCGGGCCTCGTTGCTTTGCCGCGCTCAGCTGTGTGCCTGGAAGATGTGGCCAGCGCTTTACTCAGCGCCGCCGCGGCACGGAGTCTGCTTCGCAACCAAACTGGCGGTGCGCGCGGTGCGCGCTGCCTCTGGGCGGATCCTCCAGGCGCTGTCCCACCAGTCGCAGAGCAGAGGCATGGGGCTGGGCGGGCAATATTGGCGCGACCTTCACTTGTCTTATTTGCCTGCGTGCCGCAGTCCGCTGTAACATGTCACATCTGCTCCAGCAGCTCGGGCGGACAGGCGCATGCAGTGCAAAGGGTGTGTGCAGGAGCCCACTTCTAACCTTGACTTCGCTGGGGCTCCAAAGTGTAGGAAGTCGGCCCGTCGTGTGCCGGAGCTTTTGATTCCGACCTCAGCCAGTTCGGACCCAGCTTTGTGTGGCTTTCTTGGCCACTTGCCTCGTTGCGGTGCCTGCTGACGAGTGCCCAACTCTTGCGAGTCTTGAAGGCTCCTGATACCCAACATGCGTCGGCAACCCACGTTGGGAATCAAAAGCCCTGGCCTCGACTGGCTGATTGCCGCAAGAATCCTTGCTCCGCTCCCTTGAAGTCCTACCCCTTTGGCGTCTTGGCCAAACTATGATCCGCCTTTCTGGCGAGACTCGGGTCCCAACTTGTGTAGAGCCTACATGGAAGGCACGGTGCTAAGCCTCAAGCTGAGATGCTTGTCATGGCAAGGAATGCTGGGACTTGCATTCCCTAAGTGCCAGCCAGCGAGCCATGCTCTTTGAGGGCCAGACCTCATTGCCTGGTTGCTTTTGGTTTCTATTGTGCCCAACAGGTCTTGACACATGCCGGGTGTGTCATAGAGATGAAGCTCGTTAATATCCCGAGCGCCAGATGTTTGACGAGAACCTGATGTAGTGAGGAAACGAAAGGATAGGAAGGGATCCAGCACACAGTCTATTTCTCTATCTCTCGGTGATATGCTGTCTTCATCAGAATCCTATCATTGACCGCTGACAAATAGACCTCTATCCACTCATCCCTTCCGCTGTCTCTCGGTTTCACCCATCACCAGCTATTTGCTTTCATAATCTCAGGAACGAACGGAGTGGGAAGTGAGTGAGATGGAGGAAGTAGGTGGGTGGGAAGGTCTTATGGTGAACGAAGGAATGGCAGCATGAGCTGACACAGCCCAAGCGTCAAACTTGCAAAGGGCGCAAACTCTGAGACATGGCTTGCGGTCAGCCCTAGGTTGTGAGTTTGTTGAAGTTCCGTGCGGCTTGCGGGGCTTGCGGGTTATCTTGGGGCTGCTCACGTAGCCCTGTGCGGCTGCCCGACGCTGACGACTGGCAAACGCCAAGGAGGCAGTGTCAACAGGCTTCACAAGGCAATTGAGAGAGGGCTGTGCCAACAGGGCAGTCCAGACTCATCACAGAAGCGGGTCATTGTCCCTGAAGTGCATGGCTGTAGCTGTGCAGGCATCGTGTGGGTGGCTGCAATCACCCCGCAGTTCACGTGACCTAACGTACCTCATGGGTCAGCTTGCTTGCGGCCATCAGCTTGTGCTGTTTACATACTCGACGGTCACTTGAGCCGTTGGCATGAACACTTTCCAAGAGAGGCTATGCGCAGCGCGCTCGCTTGTAGCTTCTCAAGTGCAAAGTGCAAGCGTGCTGGGAGCTTGCGACTCAGACAATATCAAAGAACCACCTGGTCCAAGACTCCAAGACATGCGTTGCTTTGGTTTGGACCTGCGAGATTCCACATTGGCCCGGGCATGTGCAGAGAGCCGGGAGGCCATGAAATGTCTCCGGGACTGGTAACATGCTCGAGCCACGCCCGAACGTCGCCTTTGAATCAGCCGTTCAAGTCTCCTTCCGCACGGCCCGAGGAAAGGCGCCGAGCCTGCAAGGCACAAGGCCCAAGGCCCGCTTCGAGAGTGCAGAAGCGGTTTTTCCAAGGTGTAGGCTGTGGATCTCGGATGTTTCAATGAAACGAGACAACTTATTGACTCCTTGAGAGAGTGTGCTTGTGAGACGTGTGGAGTGTGGAAGCTTCCCACTCCCAGCGCATGCCGCGTGTCGCGGAGGAGATCATATTCCTGACTTGCCGCGTGGGTTGGTTGCCCCTTACAGGTCCGATGCTCGAAATGGAGCAACAGCTCGTGTGCCACGCGCCAGCATTGCCTTGTGAATGGCCCGTGGCCCCTGTATCCCTATCAAACCGTCCCCATTTCCAGCATCTTGGACTCTTCGCCTTCCGGGAGGAGAAGTATACCTTCGCCTTCCAGCCAAAATGCCGACTGAGGCTCTGGAGGTTGGTCGCGTTTGTGACCTTGTCTCCCCGCAAACCTGCGGAGAAACTGGACTACCCACAGAATTATGACCTGGCTAGGCGAGATGACTGTGGGCGAAGAGATTGCGCCGACAGTGCATTTCTTTCAGATCAGAGTTGGGCTCTCGGTCGCGCTTGAAACTAGCCTTGCCTTTGCCTCGGCAGAACGACTTGCAACAAAAGATTCTCGTCAGACTCGTCAGCATCGTGCCAACAGGAAATATCAAGAGGCAGCCTCAATACGCGCCCGGAATTGGTTTCCATGGCAGCATGGAGGGCATTTGATGCAGCACCTGGATTGCGAGCAGCTCAGAAGGAAACTGATCTCCATGCACCGTTTTGTGCTATTTGTGTCTCTCCTCGCAGACGAAGGCGATGAGCTGTCACGTGCGAGAGAGAGAGAGAGGATGAAGATGGCGATGGTCACCCAAGCGCTGCCTTCGCTTGTGGTAGCTGGGCAATGGGTGAGCGCGCATGAAGATGAATAGGCGTGAGGCCATGTTTTGTATCTTTTCGGCCCCACATATTTTCTTCCCTGGCATTTGCATACAGCGCACGGACTGGGAGCGGCTCAGAAAGAATGGCTGAGTTGCTTCCTTTTGGTGCATGTTTGACTGCAAGATTCTGAGAACTGTACATAGTGGTTTCAACTGCGTTTCGCATAGCGGCCTTCAAATCAAGGTCGAATCATATTCCAATATCAGTGCAGCGCATCGACAAAACAGTACGCCTTTATGCAATTTCAAGATCTCCATAAACAAAGAGTTTGTATACACATGTAGTATGTATGTAATATACATATATACGTGCTACACATGTTACATTGTTACATACATGCATGCATGCATGCAAGCCTGCGTGGGTGCATGCATACATACCTAACCACATGCATGTGTGTATGCATGCATATATAAATAGATATGAATACATACATGTTTCTAAATCAATATTTTTGAATAGACTTGTTTAGTTTAATGAGTGACTTTTTGTTGAACGTAATGTATGTTTTTGTTTTCAATCTACGATTTTATTTATTGACTTGCTTGCTTTTTTTTGTAGCTTTGCCTTGGTGTCTTTCTTTCTTCCTTATTTCCTTCCTTTCTTCCTTCTTCCTTTCTTCCTTCCTTCCTTTCTTCCTTCCTTCCTTTCTTTCTTTCTTTCTTTCTTTCTTTCTTTCTTTCTTTCTTTCTTTCTTTCTTTAGTTATTTGTTTCTTTGTTTCTTTGTTTCTTTCTTTCTTTCTTTCTTTCTTTCTCTGCTTGCTGGCTTGTTTGTTTGTTTGTTTGTTTGTTTGTTTGCGTACTGTTGCTGTTAATGCATGTGCAGTGCACATTACACAATCTGACTTGGTTGACCTTTGTTTCAAGCTTGTAGATTGAAAGCTAGGTTCCCGCGGAACCTGCGGAACCTGCTGCGGGTATTTAGGACACTGGCTGACTGATTGCAGCTAGCTAGCGAGCTCATGGGGGTGGAGGCAGATGTCTAGTCGTGGATTGACTCTCAGTGTTCCATTAAACATATGCTTTCGCAAGGGGCCCAGGAAGACAGGCTATTGTGATGCCATGTTGGGACGTTTCTTATCTATCCGACAGGCTGATTTCGTCCGGATCAGCCAGCGCAGGAATTTGAAGGAGGCAGTGATTTGAACAGGCTCCGCCCTTTTTGTTCCATCACAGGTCGCAAGTATTGTTCAGCTCTGCTGGGGGCAACAATTCGTCTCAGCTCATTTGGTTCGGGGCGTGGCCTGCTGCGGCCCACGCCTTTCGCTGATGTTTTGTTTGCGCTTTGCTGCAAACACATGTACGCGTTCGGCATACAAGTGTCAATATTTGCTTTGTTTAGCTCTGCTCCTGCTTTGTCGTGCTTTGCTTTGTTCTTTGCTTTGCCCCTGTGCTGCATTGGCTTGCTCAGTGTTTCATTGAATTTCTTTGTGCTTGCTTGCTTGCTTGCTTGCTTGCTTGCTTGCTTGCTTGCTTGCTTGCTTGCTTGCTTGCTTGCTTGCTTGCTTGCTTGCTTGCTTGCTTGCTTGCTTGCTTGCTTGCTTGCTTGCTTGCTTGCTTGCTTGCTTGCTTGCTTGCTTGCTTGCTTGCTTGCTTGCTTGCTTGCTTGCTTGCTTGCTTGCTTGCTTGCTTGCTTGCTTGCTTGCTTGCTTGCTTGCTTGCTTGCTTGCTTGCTTGCTTGCTTGCTTGCTTGCTTGAATACCTTGTCCGTGCCTTGCCTTGATTTGTTTGCATTGCATGCATTGCTTTGCTTTCCTGTGCTTTCCTTTTGCTTTGCTTTGCTTTGCTTTGCTGTGCTCTGCACTTTTGTGCCTTGACCTGCTTTTACCCGCCTTGCTTTGCTCTAGCCTGTTTTGCCGTGCTTTGCGCTGCTTTGCTTTCCGCTTTGCTTTCTGCCTTGTTTTTGTTTTTTTGCTGTGCTTTGCGCCGCTTTCATTTGTGCTTGGCTTTGCTTTCTGCTTTGCCTTCTGCTTTGCTTTCTGCTTTGCTTTGCAGACGAGATGCCGGAGCGGGCTGCGTTGAACTGTCTGAAGACGCAATTGTGAGATATGTCGGCAGCGGCTTGCGTGAACCCTTCAGCTATTTGGGTTCACGTTAGTAGTTTCCCCGCCGTACCCCTACCGCTTGCAGGTCAAAAGCGTGATCAGCTGTGACCCGCGCCATGTATAACGTTTGCCGGACTTTGTCTACCCTGATCGCAGTCCGGTGTTTTGCAGCTGATGTCTCAGCAGGCTGTGAGACATGCACATCCCCTCAACGTGGGTCTGCATTGCTTCAGCGGGGCACCAGCAAAGCCTATATGACCACGGACCGTGGAGCGAAGGCCAAACCAGCCGGGCTGGAGCGCAGCCTTTTCATGTTGCCCGCTGATGCGGATGCCATGCTTCTGCCGGCTGTCATCCCAGCTGCTGTCAAATCCGCCGGCGAGCCAGCCATCCTCGTGATGCAGGAAGTTGAGGACGCAGCGGAAGCAGATTTTGTGGCGCAATACCGCCCAGAAACCACCTATCTTCTGGGCTCGATCTCTTCAGAAAGCTTGGCTGGAAGTCTTGGACAAGAAGTGGCCTTGACCGCATCCTCCACCTGTGCTGCGTCAGCGGTGCTGGCACAGCATTTTTGGCAAGAAAGCTCTGAGATCGTTGCGGCAACATGTGATGCCCTCGGCACCGTGTGAGTCCATATCGTTCATTGAAATTGAATCGTGTTTGGCGTGCTTCTCTAAAGAAGCAGCTTGCGTGTCGTAAGACGATTCCAAGTTCCAAGTTGAGCTTTGCCCCACCTAGGCGATGACTATGCAGCAGCGCTGATGGCCGCTCCCCTGGCGGCGAAACGTGGCGTGCCGCTGATTCTTCTCGACGACCAGGCAGGAAGCTTGGGTTAAAAGTCAAAACCAGAAGGGTTGTGGGGTGACGCACAGCCACGGCCAATTTGGAGCCCATCCGACTTCGGTTGCATGTGAGTGCCGTCGGCCGGTTTCGAGGCGACCCTGAAGTCCGTGATCGATGCGTTGAAGGTGCAGCAGCTTGTCTACGTGGGGGCTGCAGCTTGGGAGAATACCTTTGTACCACAAACCGACCTGCGCGATGCCGTGGAGGCTGCTGGGATTCAAATAGTGTCTGCAAAGGGTTTTTCAAGACGTGCGAGAGTTTGAGGGCTTTTGCAAGGCTTGAAGTCAAGACTTCTCAGGTCTACACCGCATTGGGCAAGCCTGAGTACTTGGCAATCGCCAATCCTTCAGATCGGCAAGCACCGATATTCAAGGGTCTTTCAGCTATGGCACCTATGATAGCTTCACTTCGAGGAGTGGGCTGTATGTTCCGCGCCACTGACTTGCCTGTGGCTCAAAAAAAATTAACAGGAGGGGCAAACCGCAGGTTTTGGCCCATCTTTCCTTTTGGGTACCGGTTTTTTGAGCCACAGCCATGTGGTGCCACTAGAAGGTCCTTGAAATCATTCTGCACTTTTTGTCCCTGGTCCGTGGCCAAGAATGGTTCATGCCGTTCATGCTCGCAGGAGGTGCAGTGCTACCTGTGAAGGGTGGAGACGTTTCCGCAGGCGCGATTAAGCAGCAGCTGAAAGCGCACATTGTGCACGGCATGCCAAAGTATGTGGCTCTGGTGGGTGGACCGCATGCTGTTCCACCTCATTGTGAAATTGGAGCCTTCTTTGGTGAGGCGACTCGGCACCAGCTCTTTGCAAACCTTAAATTTTATGTCACTGTTTTGTCTTGGAGTTGGCCCAAGAATGCTTTGGTGTTGCAGCAGAGATTAGAGCCCTGATTGATGCGCGATCTCCCATGCTCAGTGCTGTAAGATTTGCATGCCAAAGTCAAATTTGCAATGTTCAAAATCGCGCCATACTGTACTCCGACCGCCCGCCGGAAAGAGTTGGCGGTCGATAGCGCAAGGAGAAATGCCGTGATGCGCCATATGCGGATTTGGATGAGGACATCTTCCTTGATGTTGCGATGGGGCGCATTGTAGCACGAAACTTGGCGTCGGCGAGCCTCCTGGTGTGCCTAGGCTGTTTGATTTGGTCAAAGGATTCACCCATTGAGCTTGAGCCCGCACATCATCATCACTGATGTTGGGCCTCACCCACCAATCATCATCATCATCATCATCATCATCATCATCATCATCATCATCATCATCATCATCATCATCATCATCATGATTATCATCATCATCATCATCATCATCATCATCATCATGATTATCATCATCATCATCATCATCATGATCATGATCATCATCATGATTATCATCATCATCATCATCATCATCATCATCATCATCAAAGGTTAAGCCCGGGTTGTGAAAGCGACTTTCCGTTGTGAGGTCCCGCATTGGCAACTATGACTATGTCCGTGATGCGGCTTCAGAAGGTCGCTTTGGCATGGGAGGGAACTTGAAATCCTCTGCAGACAGCATCCGCCCCGCGCTGACCAATGTGGGTTTCAGGGTGGACATGGTTGATGAACACGAGCTTGCGCAACTTCAGAAGCTTCAGGCGGGAGTTCTTGACATGGGTGTGGCTCAACATTAAACAGCAGGGGTTACGCAGGTTTTGGTCCATGTTTCCACTTACCAGCGTTCCATTCTGGTACCGGTTTTTGAGCCACAGCCACATATAGTTTAAGCAAGCAAGACATGGAGGTCGCAGTTGGTTTCAACTTCAGGTCTCTGCGTTCATCCACGTGGACCATGCTGGAGCTGGAGGAATGGGTCATTCCTTCAAGTACAACACCACGGTGCTGCTGTCTCCTTCAGTGGTGAGCTCCTCGGAAGCTGATAGGCGCTATTGCTTCTGCAGCTGTTGCTGTTACTACTGCTGCAACTGATTTTGGCTCACAATCCATTCGGATCAAACAACACATCCTGGGTGGTTCCTGAGTGAGACGCCACCACCCGGGCGCCTTCCCCCTTCAAGGGAGTCTGTGGATTCAACGTAATTGTTGTGATGTGAGGTTCTGGTGGATGCTCCACAGCTGGCTTCGACAAACTCAGCAATCCTATGGACTCAGTGGTCTTGACACTGCTGCAGCTTGGAGGTGTGCAGCTAGCGGACTTGGGGTTACAACCCAACAGGCCTATAATTTTCTCAGGGATGGCTGGAGCCCCACTTGCACAGCCTTTACCACTTTTTCCCCAAACAGTTTACTGTGAGGGGTTCTAAATTCATTTAAAGTGATTTGCCTATTGCCAAGCCATAGCCTGGATGCCTGGCACGGCTCTCTGGGTGGACGGGTTCATTTGCGTCCCTTTGTCTCCCTTCATTTGTCTCCCGTTGTCCCCAGCCCGGCTCTTTGGGTGGATGGGTTCATTTGTCTCCCTTTGTCTCCCTTCATTTGGGTTCATTTGTCTCCCTTTTCTCTGGGTGGACGGGTTCATTTGTCTCCCTTTGTCTCCTTCATTTGTCTCTCAGCCTGGATGCCTGGCACGCCTCTCCGGGTGGACGGGTTCATTTGTCTCCCTTTGTCTTCCTTCATTTGTCTCCCGTTGTCTCTCAGCCTGGATGCCTGGCACGGCTCTCTGGGTGTTTGTCTCCCTTTGTCTCCCTTCATTTGTCTCCCGTTGTCTGCCTGGATGCCTGGCACGGCTCTCGCCTTCATGTGTCTCCCGTTCTCTCCCAGCCTTTCTGGGTGGACGGGTTGATGTGTCTCCCACTTCATTTGTCCCTCGTTGTCTCTCAGCTGGTTTTCCACTGTCTCTCAGCTTGTCTCCCTTTGTGCCGTTCTTGTTGTCTCCCAGCCTGGATGCCTGGCACAGGTGGACGGATTCATTTGTCTCTCTTTGTCTCCCTCTATTTGTCTCCGGTTGTCACGGATTCATGTGCGGTGTATTCCGCAGGCAGGCATGTGTGTTTGAGGCTCAGAACGCATGTCTGAGACGCGCGTGCGCTTGATCAAGCCACAGGCAGCATGCTGCGGATGCACGCATGAGTGCTTCAAGTGAATGATTGTGTGTTCTTGGTGTGCGTTCCAAGCGAACACTTTTTTGGCATGTGACCGCATGAGTGTGTTCCACGTGAGCGCAGGTTTGTGTTCCAGGTGAAAGCATGCGACTGTTCTGATAAAACACATGTGCGATCCGGTCAAAATTCTTGTAAGGGAGCTTAGTCTACAGAGGCCGCCGTCGCAGTCACTTTGTGCAGTTTTTCATTCATACAAAGCGGAGTTGGATTGCCCGCTCCCCACTGGAGGCGCTAGGATGGCGCTTGATTTTGTGCTAGGGTCTTCGGTGATCTTGGGTTCCACCAGTTGGCGCGTGGGTTGCTGCGATGGGCTTTGTGTGGCTTTCAAGGGTGTAATGTTGCAGTTCTTACCTAGTACTTGAAGCCAGCCCGCGCGTTTACCTTCATCTTACGTGGCCTTAACTTGTCAAATCCACATAGATGGTCGCCGTGAGTCCCAAAAATACGGCGAAGCCGCGCTAGCCGCGCGCTAGCAAGGCGCTAGCGCAGTGGTCAGCTGTGACCAGTTCCCAGTTGCGACTCAATGCAAATGTGCTTCCTCTCTCCTCGCCATGCAATTACCATGGAATGCGATTTGCTGGACAAACGGGAGACAAAACGGCTGAGGCAAGAAGGCAGGGATGCCTTGTACCGAGCATACGGAAGAATTGGGTTGTGTACTTACTGAACCGATACGAAAAGTTGCCACAGTACGATAAAGGCACTTTAGAGCGTTCTATCGAGCAACAGATTGCTCGATACGAAGGACGCTGTGCAGCCAAGCGAGAAAGAAGCGCAATGCGCCGGAAAGCTTTTCTAAGCTTTCCGGATGAAGCGTATAAATGCTGGAGACGCACCCGATGCTGACAGTTTTAGCAGTAACAGCAGCAGCAGCAGGCTCGCGCGCTAGCAAAATTGCTAGATTGGTCGCAAACGAACACTATTTTCCTACTTGGAACATGCATATAAAACACAAGCGTTGTTTAAGGCAGAGCCCCATGGAATAGCGCCTCACAGCCGGCTTCGGGAACTTAAGCCCCATGTGAACACATTTTTGTTGCCCAGGTGAACGCATGTGTGCTGCGCAAGTGTGTTGCACATGTTTCTCCACATGTGCACATACATGTGTCCCATGTCTACACATATGTGTGTTACAAGTCATCACAGAAGTTTGTCTGGTTAAACATGTTTGTGTGATCCAGGTCTGCACCAGTGTTGCGCGTGAACAAAAATGCCTGTTCCAAGTGAGCGCATGTATGGGTTCCAGGTGAACACAAATGTGTTTTGCAGGTGAACAGAAATGTGCTTTCCAGACATACACACATATGTGTCCAGGTGTACGCATGTGTGTGTGTGTTCCAGGAACACATGTTTGTTATCAGACGAACACGCGTGTGCGTGTGTGTGTGTGTGTGTTCCGGGTGTGCGTACATGTGTGTGTTTGCGTGTGCACATATGTGTGACGCATATGCGTGTTCATGTGTGCACATATGCGTGTTCCCACGCTTACACATTTGTGCATTTGTGTGTTCACGTGTGCACACATGGGCGTTTTTTCCCGAAGGCAACTAAACACGTGTGTGTGTGTTCCAGGAGAACACATGGTTGCCATCAGATGAACACGTGTCTGCTCCCCATGCGCGTGTATGTGTGTTCACGTGTACACATGTGTGTCACGTGTACACATTTGTGTGTTCCATTTGTGCACATATGTGTGTTCACGTGTACACATATGCCTCTTCCACATGTACACATTTGTGTGCTCACATGTGCACACATGTGCGTTCCAACTGGACACGTAGTGTATGTGTTCCAGGAGAACACATATTTGTTATCAGATGAACACGTGTCTGCTCCACATGCACAGGTATGTGAGTTCACGTGTACGCATATGTGTGTTCTCCGTGTACACATTTGTGTGTTCGCGTGTGCACACATGTGCGTTCCAACTGGACATATGTTTGTCTTCCAGGAGAACACATGTATGTTATTAGATGAGCGCATGTGTGTGTGTGGGTCTGCTCTGCCTGCGCATGTATGTGTGTGTATTTGTACGCATAACACGTTTGTGTGTTGACGTGTACACACATGTGGGTTCCAATTAGACACGTGTTTGTGTGTCAGGTGAGTGTGTGTTCCGGCTGCAGATATGAATTTTTGTGTTCACGTGTGCACATATGTGTGTCCCACGTGTACACAGACGTGTGTTCACGTGTACACACTTCTGTGTTCCAACTAGACACGTGTTTGTGTTCTAGGAGAATACGTGTTTTGTTAAAACCCTCCTGGCCCCGTGCCTAAATTGGGAAGCAGTTCTGAGGTCCGTGTTTGTGTTGCTTACAAGGTTCCATTGATTGCCATTTGGCTCAAGTCACAAGTGAGGTTCAAGATCTTATGTGAAGCTGCGTTCATACGTGATCGGCAATTGAGAGCGGAAAACACTTCGCTTGCGCTGCATTTGTCAGGACCACTGTTGTAACTATTATTCCTTCTCCCTTACAACAGTTCCACGGGTTCGGCTATAACGGTTTGACCGTATACACCTTTCTACGTGGTTGGTATTTACAGCTGGAGGGTTCGGTGGACAGCGTCCCACGGGACGTCACCTTGCCGTCTCTTGCCGGTACAGGGACAATAAAGGAACAATAACCTACACGGTACAATGGCATCTTCAGCGAGCCCAAGTACTGCAACTTTTGGGAACGGCAGCTCAGAGGGATCCAATGGATTGATGGCTCTTCCTGCGGTGATGGATTTGGTCGCAGATTTACAGGATGAACCTGGGAGCGGAGGATCCGCGCTATTCAGCGACATATCCACTCCTACAAGATCATGGAAGCAGATCGATGTTCGTCAAGAGTCGAAGCAAAGAGAATCCCCGCCGAGAAGATCATCATCTTCGCCTGCGACACCACGGACGTCGCAGAAGGGCGTGAGGTCAACATCAAAAGGTGGGAGATCTAAATCGCCCACCAGTGCAGAGTTTCGCGCCGCGATTAAAGAAAAGAACAAGATGGAGATGGAGATCGGGGAATACCAAAAGACACTTGATGAAATGTCGGCAGCAATGGCGAATCTTCATCAAGAAGACTATGGGAGCACCATCCGGATCCAGGAGCTGGAGAGACGATGCGGGATTGCCAGCAAGCAATCGGGACATCTTGCGAGTCACCACCAACACCACATGGCTGAGGCATGGCGCAAGTTTGAGGAGGAAGCCCAACAGATGCGCAAGGTGGAAATGAACGCATATTAGTACGGGGAAAAGAAAGACATGGAGTCGAATGTTATAATACAACAGATGAGACAAGCTGAAGGAACTATTATGGAGCAGAAGCGGGAGATTGCAGTGATGAAATCCTTCATGGCAAGCGAGAAGTCGGCCGCGCAGGAATCAGCTATACATGCAAATCAGATACACCGTGAGGCTTCACAACAAATATCAGTTTATCAGCAACAGATCAGAGGTATTGAATCGTCTACATCTATCGAGAAGTTCAACGAGGAGGAGATGGTCCAAAGTCTAAAATCACAGTTGGAGCATGCACTCGTCAAACGCCCCGAGACGTACTCTATGGAGGACTCCAGGGAGCAGCTGATGGCGAGACTGAACGACGTTAACATTCGCGGAGCAAGAATCGAAGAGAGCAGAGTGCTTACTTCGCGAGAAGGAAGAGATCGTCAAACAGTATGAATCCGACGTGTTGAAGAAGGACCAGATGATTGCTATCGAGGGTAGTCATCGTCAAGATGCGATCTTGGAGTTAGCCCAGGTCAGAGAAGCAAAACAGGAAGAGCGGTGCACGATGGACGAGAAATCGAAGGAGGCCGAGTACTGGAGATTGACAGCTAAAGGAGCGTATGATGAGTACCTCGAGGAGATGCGTGAACTTCAGGGACAACTGAAGGATCGGGAGGCGACGCTCAAGCAAGAAGAGAGTTTTGTTCGTCAACTCGATGCTGACAATGAGGAGCTACGAGCACTCAAGAAGCTGGAAACACAGGAAGCCTCTAGCAGTAAAGATGGACATCGTGAACGAGCAGTAGTGAAACGCGCTGAGGGAGGACCCCAAGCTAATTCGACTAG